GTGAGAGTGAGACTCCAACTCAAAAAAAAAAAAAAAAGATACACAATCAGAGCAGCTTCTTCCTCCCTCCCAAAACCACTTCCAGTTGGCATATTTGTTAAAACGAGAGCTCATCGGCAAGAAGGGAGCCTTGGCGGACTGACAAGAGACGCACAGGAAGTAGCTACATACCAGCACCACTCCCAACATTTCCTCTTTTAATGCACAAATGACAGACTGTTAAAAAAAATTTTTTACAAATGGAGAAAAGACCAAGCCAGGATGATTTCCCACAGGGAAGGGATGCAAGGGCTGCCTACAAACGTCTTCAGGTCACCCCGGCTACTTCCTCCTCTTGTATCTATCAAGAAAATCAGAGTGTAAAGACCTGAACGAGGAAGAAGCACCTTTCCAAGAAAGGTTCCTCCACTCCCGCCCATCACAGCCTCTGGCCCTGCACAACTGCCAGGGTCACCTGGATTTCGATTTGAAGTTTCCTCCTCGTCGCTGGTGGGCCAAGCCCCACTGCTTCCGTTCTTCAAAGGAAGGGCTGTGAGAGGATGAGACGCTGAGCCAAGCTGTCATGGGCAGTGAGTGACGTCTCCCCCACCCCGCCCAGCTCCGCAGGAAGCAGCAGCATCCTTGGGATGCACCCCTTGCAGGGCCTGGTCCTAGCCCTTTTGTGTTTTCAGATACATGCGTGTCTGGAAGGCAGGGCCCAGCTTTAAAACGAGTCTAGGAGAAGCCTTCTGTATGAAGACCACTTCGAAGGCTTGGTCTGTCCCCACCCCAACCTCAGGCTGGGGCAGGGGGAAGGGAAACACATTCCCAAGAGCAGGCCAGGATTCTCTGGGGTTCTACAGGATGGACCCTGAGATGTAAGTTACTACTCCCCGAGGGGAAAGCTCTGATTCTGAACCCTAAAATGTGCTATTTTCCCCTCCAAGGCAGGAACAGTGGAACCTTAACACCTCTCTCCTGTTCTCACCGTGGGATCCAGACAGTGCTCTTGAGTTCATATATCATAAAACTAGAGGTGGGAAATAGGAGCGGGAAGCAGGGAGAAGACTCAGCTTCCATCAGAACACCCAGGGCTCCTTGAGGACAGACATCCTTACCCAGCTCGATACTGTTTCAGGGCCTTCTTGCTGGTGTTGGTGAGCTCCTCATCAAACACAGATTTCTTCCCCTGCTTCTTCTTGGCTGTGCACAGAGAATGGGTGAGACGTGGTCCTCTTTGGCCTAAGGTACTAAGTCCCCTTAAGCTTAGGGTAACGATTCAACGTTTAGTGGAGGCTCTGTGACTGTCTTCACTGTACCCTTGCTGGGTCCTCCGAGTAGCAGCTGGTAAGGACTGAGGCTCCAGGAGGTCCTCAAACTTTTAAAATGGGGCCAGTTCACTGCCCCTCAGACCGTTGGAGGGCGGACTATAGTTTAAAAAAAAAAACTATGAACAAATTCCTTTTTTTTTTTTTTAAACTATAGTCCACCCCTCCAACGGTCTGAGGGGCAGTGAACTGGCCCCCTGTTTTAAAAGTTTGAGGACCCCTGCCAGAGTCAGCAAGGCCAGGGTTCACATCCTCACTCTCCCCACCAGCCATGGGGTCACTCCACCCCCAGACCATTAAAGAGACAACTATACACTCTGGTACACACTCATTACTCAACAATGTGGCTAGCGTCACCACCCCAAGTTGCCTCCCTGACCACCAGCACAGAATGCAGGGAGAACTCCCCACAAGCTCCTTTGGGTTCCCCAGGCCCTACCGGGACCCCTCGCTGGCTCCTCCTCAGGCATTGCTCGGGCCCGCTTAGCTCTGCGATTCCTCTTGGCCAGCCGTTCAGCAAACATCTGTGCCTTGAGGACTTCAAACTGGGACCTTTCCTCTGCCTGGCGAAAAGGAGGAGGTGTGAGTATAAACGGACCAGGCCTAGGATGCATCCTGCCAGGTAGACCCAAACTCCCAAGGGGAGACCACTCACTGTCATCTCCCCCTTTTTCTTAGCATCCTTCAGAAACTTCTTTCTTTTCTTCTTTCCTCTTAAGGCCAAGTCAAACTCCTGCAGAGCCTTGGCAACTGGGTGAGAAGAAAGAGAATTTCAGGGAGAGTTTTATTTATTAATTTTCGTTTTTTTGAGTAAGGGCTTCACTCTGTCACCCAAGCTGGAGTGCAGTGGTACAATCATAGCTCACCACAGCCTCAACCTCCTGGGCTCAGGCGATCCTTCTGCCTCAGCCTCCTGAGTAGCTGGGACAACAGGCCTGCTTCACCACGCCTGGCTCATTATTTTGCTGGAGCGATGAAGTCTTCTTATGTTGCCCAGGCTGGTCTCAAAATTCCAGGCCTCAAGTAATCCTCCTGCCTCAGCCTCCCAAAGTGCTGAGACTACAGATAGAAGCCACCGTACCCGGCCTTATTTCTTTTTTAAAAAATTTACAATAAGTGCACATATTTTAAGTTAGTACATAACAGACCAAGTGCTGAGGCTCTCACCTATAACCCCAGTGCTTTGGGAGGCCAAGGCAGAAGGATCAATTGAGCCCAGAAGTTTGGGATCAGCCTGGGCAACAAACCAAGACCCCATGTCTACAAAAAAGTTTTCTGGGGTCAGGTATGGTGGCTCACACCTGTAATTCCAGTACTCTAGGAGACTGAGGCGAGAGAAATACTTGAGCCCAAGAGTTTAAGGTCAGCTTAGGCAACAAAGCAGAACCTTGTCTCTACAAAAAAATTAGCCAGGTTTACTGGCATGTGCCTGTAGTCCATTACTCAGAAGGCTGAGGTGGGAGGATCGCCTGAGCCCAGGAGGCTGCAATGAGCTATGATGTGCCACTGCACTCCAGCCTGGGTGGCAAAGTGAGACCCTGACTAAAAAAAAATAAAAATAAAAGAATTTCCAAGTAACAGAATTGAATTAAGTGAAGAAAAGGGTGGAGCAATGTGAATTCATTAGTGTTTTGTTTATTTTAAAAAGAAATGGAGAGGGAATATATATTAAATTTATCTCCTGATTTTAAAAAAGTTGTGGTAAAATATACAACATAAAATTTGCCATTTTACCCATTTTTAAATGTACCGTTAATTTGGTGGTGCTGATTACACTCACAAAACTGTAGAACTGGTACCACGATCTATTTCCAAAACTCCCCACCAGAGAGGCTTCTCACCCATCTCAGTTGAGTCTGCTTGCCTAGGCCTCACCTATGTAGAATCACACAGTGTTTGTTTTCTTGTGTCTGGACTACTTCACTCAGCACAATATTTTCAAGGTTCATCCTTACAGAACGCCACAGCTGATCATGTTCTGGTGTGTGTGTACACCCCACATTTGATATATCCATTCATCTGCTGATAGACATAGCTTGCTTCTGCCTTTTGGCTATTACGAACAGTGCTTCAAGGACAGTGGCACAGGAGTGTCCGTCCCTGCTTTCGTTTCTCTGCGGTGTCGCCTCAGGAAGAGAGTGCTGACCTGTGGGGTGACGCTGTGTTGGGCTCCTGACTTACTTTTCTCCTTCTTTCTCTCTTCTCTGGTCTGGAACCAGCTCCTCTCGGGCTCCTGGCCCGCAGCCTCCTTCCCCTTCTCCAGGAGCCGCTTTGCTGTGTTAATCTGTGGGCACAAAGAAGGCCTGTGGTGCAGCCTGTATCTGCTAACACGTGACCTAGCAGCTCCGCAGCCACTGGCTGCATGTGCCAGAGGCTCGATGCCAGGTGGACACTTCAGAGGGCAGAGCCAGCAGGGATGCCGCGGCTCGCCAACTGATCCCCCTCCAGCCTCACCTGGGCCTCTGACTGCTGCATTTCTTTCTCCTCCGCCTCCAGCTGCAGAACTGCATATACGTCTTTCTCCATTTTTTCAATCTTGTCTCGGAATTTGAGAATGACATCTCAAGGGAAGGGAAAAAAAGGCTTATCTAAACATAGGGTAGCTACTAATGTCATGGAGCTGATGAAAATAATGTAGCTGTGGCCAGACATGGTGGCTCACGACTGTAATCCCAGCACTTTGGGAGGCAGAAGCAGGGGGATCACTTGAAGCCAGGAGTTTGAGACCAGCCTGGGCAACATAGTGAGACCCCATTTCTATTTTTAAAACACCATCCAGGTGAGGTGGCACGTGCCTATAATACCAGCTATTTAGGAGGCTGGGGTGAGAGCATCACTGGAACCTGGGAGTTTGAGGCTACAGTGAACTATGATTGTATCATTGCACTCCAGCCTAGGTGACAGAGTGGAACCATGTCTCTAAAAAAATTTTAAATTTAAGAAAATCTGCCAGGCATGGTGGCTCAAGCCTGTAATCCTATCACTTTGGGAGGCCAAGGTGAGAGGAATGCCTGAGCTCAGGGGTTCAAGACCAGCCCAGGCATCTTGGTAAGACCTCAACTCTACAACAGATGAAAAAATAAGCCAGCTGTGGTAGCGCGTGCCTGTAGTTCCAGCTACTTGGAAGGGTGAGGTGGAAGTATCACCGGAGCCCAGCAGGTCAACACTGGGGTGTCCGTGAGTGTGCCACTGCACTCCAGCCTGGGCGATAGAGTGAAATTCCAACTCGAAATAAAATAAAATAATAAATCAATAAGAAAAGCAGGGCAGAACCCTTTTAGAAAGACCTCAAGTCCGAATTCAGAAGTAAACTTCTTTCTACCCCCAAAAAGGAAAGGAAAGCATGTAGCCATAAAAAATCGTGTTTTTAACGTGTGACTTCTCTGCTGCTTCACACCTCTCAGCGTAGGTGTGGTCACTGCCTGCCTAGCTGATCTTCTGTGCCACTGCTCACCCAAGCCCCTGGGCCCTCTGACCCTTGAGCTCGCATGCCACCTTGGACCCCTTGGTTCAGCACACTCTGCCCCACCCCTCACAGCCACCTCATTCTCATCACCCAGGTCTCTGCGGCAGGCCCCTCTGGGCAGTCTCCTAAAACGGGCACCCTCCTCTTGCTCCCAGTCACGCCTCCTGTTAGCCTGTCCACTGCCTCCCTCCCACAAGAATGTCAGCTGTGTTCCCTGATGGACCCCCAGCACCAAGGACAGAATAAACAGCACTGGGCACACAGCAGGACTCCAGAACTGTTTGCTGACTAAATGAATGAAATGAGGAAGAAGACATCTATGAATAGAAAGGCTGAAGAGACATGGACCTAAATGCTAACTGCACTGAGCTCTTTGACACAGAATTACATTTTTGCTTATTTCAATTACTAGCTTCCAACAATGAATACGTATTATTTTTGTAACTTAGGAAAAAAAAGTTTAAGATGTGCTTTATATGACTACAGATCAAAAGAAAAAAAAAATGAAAAACATCCAAAAAGGAGAGCTGGTCTCTGGTCTCTGCCCGCCCAACAGGAAGGGGGGAGGTCAGTGAAACTGCAGTTTCCCATAGGAACACACCCAGGGCAGTGCTGTGTTTATGACCCTGTCATGATTCCCTCTGACAGGAAGGCAAGCTCGGAGCCAGGGGTGAGAGCCGCCTAGGATCCCTCAGGCAATGGCAGGGCTGGGACAGGATCTGGTTCCTGACTACAAAGCACTTGCTGGCAGTCATCATGCTCTGCCCCTGCCCTGCCCACCCAAAACACCCCACGGGGCGCCTACCCTGGGGAAGTACCCGGGCCTTCACTGGGGCCTTGGCAGCTTTCACAATCTCCTTCAGCATCTTCCGCTCCTCCTCTCCCGCCAGAGAGACGGAGCGCCCGGCCCTGCCGGCACGCGCTGTCCGCCCCACCCGGTGGACGTAGTGCTTGATGGTATTGGGCATCGTGAAATTGATGACCTGGAAGGTCCAAATGGAACATCACCCAATCTGGCAAAGAAAGGGGGAACCAAGGAGGTTAAAAGACGCCCACCAAAAGCTCAAGGAAGACAGGGCCTGCTCACCGTTTTGACTCCCTCAATGTCAAGTCCACGGGCTGCCACATCAGTGGCCACAAGGATGTCGATCTGCTCATCCTTAAAGCGCCTAGAAATAGCCACAGACAGCGATGTTGATGCAGACACCCTAGTCCAAGAGTGCTCCACAGGAGACCACGCCAGAACAGAGCACGACGTTAAAGTCACCAAGTCCCTTTGGAGTTCAGCAGCAGGTGAAGATCAGCACAGTGAGGACAGATTCCAAGCATCAACTGGACCCACTGGATGCTTGCACTCGCCCTCAAACAACCTGTCACACAGGGCAATCAAGCTCTATGCCTGCTCCCTTAAGGAGTCCTGTACGGATTAAACTTTGGGAGCCCCTGGGCTCCAGGAAGGAACACAAGTATCTCCGTGCTCCAGTCAGCCCTGCCCTGCACACACCTCTCACACCCTCTGAGGAGCACAGGCAAGTGGCAAGTTCTAAAGGCTCCTCCTGGCCTACTCCCTTGACTCCATTCTGTGAGAATCCACCAAGAAAGCCGCACAGGGCCAGACCACTTAGATGCTCAGGAAAACAGCAACTGGCGTTCTCAACCTCACCCAGTCAGACCTGGGAATGCCCAGGGCTCTGGGAAAGCTGCGAGACCATGTCCTGTCCTTCCAAGTCAGCTCCCTTGTGTCCCCGCGCAACAGCTCCCACCCGAGGACAAGTATCTGAGAGTATGAGGGCCAACTCCCACGAGACCACACAATCCCCAGAGACCCAATCACCTGTGGCTACGGTGTTCAGGCAGGGATTAGGTGACTATCCCTGCTCCTGCTCTACCATCCCGCTCAGGATCCTGTTTTGCCCTCCCACCTGTGCAAGAATGGTGGGCCCGGCCCACCCACCAGTGACCAGGGCCTCCTCTCCACCCTCCACCCCCGTCAAGAGGAAGGCGCAGGGCCGCGAGTCACCCACCCACATTACCGGAGGGCCTCCAGCCGCTGTGTCTGCGACAGGTTGCCGTGGAGCTCGCCCACCTGCAGCCCCAGGAGTCCCAGGAGGATGTGCATGCGGTGTGCCTGCTTCTTGGTCTGCGTGAACAGCATCACGTGGTCGGTGAAGGTTCTTGTCAGCAGGGCTGGTGGGAAGACAGGAGCAGCTCAATTCCAGGTGCTTCTTCAGCCGGCACCCCTCACCCACGAGGGGTGACTGCTGTGCCTGACACTGGGGGTGATGGGCACCGCCCCTGCCCTGTGGGGCTCACGCTTCGGGGCGGAGACAGAAGTCAGTTCCCAGAGAGAAAGGGGAGGGTAGGGGCCCTGCAGCGGAGAAATTCGTGGAGTGACAAGACAGAGCGTTCACGGGAAGGTCTGGCAGAGGAAGGAGCAAATCCAGAAGTCCGGAGGCAGCAGCAGGCCTGGTGGTGAGATGGCTCCACACAGGCGACTGGCTGGAGCCAGGAGCAGAGGGCCCTGAGTGACTCACTAGAGTATGTGGACCACAGGGTGACAACTAAGAAGAACTCAAGAACAAATGTTCTCTTGCAGGTGATCAGTGCAAAGACCCATGTGTGGACAAGGGATCCCCAAGGGCCCTGGGAAACAGGAGAGGAAGCAAGAGGGAGCATGACACCAAGGCGAGACAGCAGAGTGGACCACAAGCACAGCGGCAGCAGGTGTGAATGGCTGGGAGCAGGACATAAGGAGGGGGATGAGGTGACAGAGAAAGGGAGAAGAGACTTGTGGAGGAAGTGAGGCGTGGACGGATGGCTGGGCCCCTCTCTGTACTGGGGAAGACCAGCTGGCGGAGGCAGGGGACAGACACCAGGCACTTCAGCATGGACACCACGAGCCCAAGGGCCTTGACCACTCCACCCTGGCCAGTCCCACCCTAGGCTGCCACCTGCCACGATGGCTTCCCGGTCCCCTTCCCGGTTAGGCCGGATCCGGATGAACTCCTGCCGCAGGAAGGGCGCCACATCTGTGTTGCTGTTCACGAATATCCTCACGGGATTCTTCAAGGAGACGGAAGCCAGATCTTTCACCTGCCAAGCACAGAGTCAGAATTGCTCAGCTCTCTGCGAGGGGGCAGGGCAGAAGGCAGCAGGGCTCATCAGGCAACCCCTCTCAAGCCGCGCCGAGTCCTCTGCATGACCCCTTCTGGGCACACCTGCCCTGGGAAGGCCCTCGGCCCACCTCGTCTGTCATGGTGGCTGAGAAGAGCATGGTCTGGCGGTGGTGGGAACACATCCGGATGATCTCCTTCATCTGCTCCTCAAAGTACTCATCCAGCATCCTGGGACAAGGACAGGGAGATATGACAGAAATGGGCAGGTGCTCTTCTGCCACAGCAAGAGACAGGGAAGAGCACACAGGCTACTTGCTGTCGTGGATTGTACTGAGGATGCGTCTCTTTATTCTGATTATTGCTATCTTATCCTTTCACCAAGATTCACCAAACATTATCATTCTGTCACATGTGCTTTGTCCCTTTTTTGCAAGTCAGTTGCTGATGTCATGATGCCTTCCCCTCGAATAATTCACACATCTTCCAAGGATGATCTTCTCCTACATAGCCACAAGGTCACCATCACATTGAAGACTTTTAAATGTTTGAATAATATCTAAAGTACAGACCACATTCAAATGTCCTCGGCTATTCCCATGTCATCTAGAGCTGTCTGGGTTTTTATCCAAGAACCGAAGTTCTTGACACTGACTGCCATGTCTCTTCAGCCTCACTTCATCAAGAAAGTCTCCTCACTGTCTTTACAATGTACATTTGTCTCACTGTTTCCTGGTGACTGATTCAGAGATGGCGTCCTAGGGGAGGGCTGTTGGGCAGGGCTGTGCCCTTCACCCCTGTTCATCAGGAGATGTTCTGATTGGGATGTGAGTTTGGTCACTTGGTGATGGTGGCATCTGCCAGACCTCTCCACTGTCAAGGAACCTTTTTGTCGCTGGGATAATGAGAATCTGTGGGATGACTCCAACCCGGTTCGTCACAGCACCTTGCCCCTCAATGCCAGTTACAGCGCAGGACCAGGCATCACCCCGAGCTGTCGCATCTCGAGTCTCCTTAATCCCAAACACAGCCTACATCTTTCTTGGTCTTTTGAGACACTGACATTTTTGAAAGAGAGTTTCCCTCTCCCTTTAAAACCCAAATCAGATCATGCGCTTGTGGCTTAAAATGATCTCCTTTCCCTCCCTGAGAGCCAGGAATGGTGGGTTTGTCCTGGGCGAGTGAGCACCTGCTAAACACTAGCCACGCCCCTAGGCACGAGGACACAGTAGCAGCCCCTTCATGAATACTATATTCTAGGAAGGGGGGAGGGACACAAGTACTGCATGGACCCTCAGTGACAACACATCCCTGCACTTTGGAAAGCGTGGACAGAAGGGAGGCCCAAGGCGGAGCAGGAACTGTCAGAGGGGTCAGCAAAGGCCCCTGTAACTCGTGACACCTGGAGCAGAAACCTGAAGGAACCGGGAGACTATCCCATGCTGAGGGAAGAGCAGGAGCAGGAGCCCCAAAGTGGGGGTGTGCTGTGGGTTGTGACAACGAGGTGGCACTACAAGCTCTGACCTGGACAAGTGGTGGGCTTGAGTTGTCAGTCCTTGGGCTGGGGAACAGGGAGGGAGGGAGAGAGGGGCTCTGAGTACAGAGGCCATTTAAGGACCTGCTGTGTTCTGAGTCCCTGCCATCAGAGTGTGAAACACAACATGCCATCCTCAGCCCAGGTCATGAGGTGTTCATTCTGTTCAGTCACAAAACAAAGAAGTGAGGTGAGCAGCTGGGATGCGTATGAGAAGAAAGAG